ACATCTCAACAGTGAGCATGCGCTGGACGATAGAAGTACAGCTCAATGTAGAGTACAAATGCAGGTTGTACAGCAGTTAGAGCTACAGGTAAAGCCACCTTTATTTTTAATATTACCCCAGTATGCCTCACCTCCACATTTCTGTAGTGTTCTGTAAGAGTCCCTATGTACTTGTTCTTCAATGGAATGTCCAAAGTTTATTGTTGTCTTTTTATTATTATTAATTTTAATTTAATTTTATTTAACTTTCTGGGTTAAGTTCAGCCTCAGTTCAGGCTGGAACTGCTGCTTAGATGCCTATAGGTTCAGCAATGGCTCAGTTACCACCCTGGGCTTTTCTTTCTCCTTTGTCCTCCCCGTACCCCCTTGCCCATTTCTCTCTTTTCCTTTCAACTTGGTTCTCTGTTGTTGGTGCAAGTCCCTGAAGTTGTTCATGTTATTAAACTAGATTTTTGGAGACCAGCCTGGGAGAGAGAGGGAATGAATGAGAATGGATAGAGAACAAATCTGTGAGACCAAGGCAGGGGTCGGGGGTAACGGGGCACACCTGGAGGCATGTGTTCCAAAGTCACGGTGGAAGGTATATTGATGGTGCTACCTACATTTTTCACTATCGCCCTTTCTCTCCATCCCCGAACTCTCAATAGAGAGTTTACTGTTTTAAATACATGCATATATAATCAAGATACATAATACATATAATGTGCATCTGTAAATACTTCGTGTACAATAAATACTATGGTGCCCGGAAAGCCTTGGATCTCTTTTTGGACTAGGGAAAAGAAACGGATGCAGACTTCCCTGGAGAATGAGCATTGTGAGAGTTGGGGGCATTTTTTTTTTAATGTAGCTCCACTTCCGGTTTTAACTTGTTGATAAGCCACCACATTTCAACAGTAATCCCCTTTCTGGCATAATTAATAGAAAATTAGTTTCTAAAAGTTAAAATTGGGTCAGAAATGGAGATGATTAAAATGTACAGTTGCAAAAGCCCGACCTCGCAAACCCCATTTATGCAACCCAGCTCCAGAATGCTTTTGAGTGCTCAGTGACTCACCGAGCTTCCTCCTCTGGCTGGTTCAGTGTAGGCAAGAGGTTAGCCGACTCGGGGAAATTAAAACAATGTTGTACATTATATTGGTACCAGCCATCGGAAAGCCTATTTGGTATGCAAGACAGCAATGCCGAGATATATGGAGAGCCCTAGGCTAAGTACAGAAGATAATTACATTTGGAATTTTACTGAGTTAAGTCATTTATGGCTTCAAATAGTTGCAGAGAAAAATCAGCCCAAACACACTTAAACTTTTTTGTTGTGACTTTTCAAGATAGAAAGGATTTTTTTAAAAAACTAGTTATCATCGTATATGAGAAATTGCATTTTTTGTAGAATTTTCCTCAAAAGTTATTGTCCCGAGCTTGTTAATATTTTCCATTCGAACTTATTAGGACAATTACATGTTTATGCAAGGAAAGAATACATCATAAAAGCCTCCAATTTACATATAAGTCTTTGGAAACATCTTTAAATTCAACATGTTTTTGGAGAAGATAAAGTGGTAGGTTTAACATCATCTTCAAATATAGTCAGAGCACAGTAAGCCCTTGAGCCCATGGCTCTTTGTGAGTTTTTTTTTTTTTTAGTTAGTCATGGTGCTTGAATTCAGGGCCTGGGCACTGTCCTGAGCTTTTTTGCTCAAGGTTAGCAACTCTACCACTTTGAGCCACAGTGCCACTTCCAGTTTTCTAGTGGTTAAGTGGAGATAAGAGTCTCAGGGATTTTCCTTCCTGGGCTGGCTTCAAACCTGGATCCTATGATCTCAGTCTCCTAAGTAGTTAGGATTACGGGCATGAACCACTCACCCAACCAACTCATGGCCCTTGTTCTGTGGGTATGCAGATAATGGGAGTGGTATTTATAAAGCAATGCATGCTTTTGTATTTATTTACTGGATTTAAAATTAAGTTCTCAGAATTAACTTGAATAAATTGTTTAGCAGAGTTGGCAGGATTTTCCAAGGTATACTAGGCTAGGATTTGCCTAGGATCTGAGTACCTATCTTAGTAATTTTTGTTTATTCTTCACAAAGGTGAGAGGAAACAGAGGTGTGAGTCCATCAGCAAGTCAGGGTTAGTCAGGCAGCTTTGCTGAAGTTTTTTAGTGGGTGTGGCCTGGAAGGAGAATAAATTGATAGGCTGACACAGGAGCATTCCTCGATTATTTGTGTCACTCATGTATTCACAGATTTCATCATTAATCAGAACTAAGGCAGGTTGTCCAAGAGATGATAGAAAATAAAGATGATATGATCACAAGTAGTACTTACCTGCAATGCTTCTCACAGTACTTTTTTATACTTCTTGCTTGATAGTTGTTCTAGTAGAAGACAGAACTGGCTTGTTCTGCTGGGTTCCACATCTTCTCATCCTGAAAGACTTGGTATCAGTAATAGTGTTTAGCAAGTGTTTAGGAAGAGTTAGTAAACAGTGCCAGATATGGGCTGAGAAAAATTTTGAATACTAGTTGGGATAAAGCAACAAAAGAAGAGTAACGTTCCATGATAAATGAAAATTGTGTGAAATTCAGATTTCATTGTCCATATAGCAAGTTATATTGAAACATGGCTGTGCCCCTGCCGATTCATTTACTAATGATCTATGATTGTTTTCACACTAAAATGGCAGAGATGGGTATTTGCACCAGTTTCCCCGTTATACCCTGCAAAGCTGAAAATACTTAAGATCTGGCTTTTATGGAAGTTTTCCAAACAACCCCTAGTAAGGAGGGAGAAAGAAAAGAAACAATCTGTATAACGTTATTGGCCAGTTGTTTCCTTTAAGTTTCTGGCTGCCCAAAGTATCTCTGGCCCCTTCAGGCCTCTGCCTTCTTACTCATGATATATACAACCTGTCCAGGGACCACATTGTCAGGTAACCCACCAGCAGCCTCCTGTGACAGGGCCTGCCAATCTTGAGGCCTGTAGAAGGCTGGCCCAAGGCTATACATTCATTTCATGTAGAAAACATTTTCCAAGGAGCTATTACGTAGAAGAGGCTTGCTGAGTCACCAGAAAGGATAATAGTGATTCAGGGAATAAAGCCTCTTTCATTCAAGAAACATGGTCCTCAAAATGGTTTTACAGTGGAACTGTCCATTTATTAGTTGGTGCTAGCTGACACCAGTGGATTCATTAAAAAAACATTTTTTAAAGCCTAAGAGGGTCAATCCTAAAAAGCAACTGAGGATTAACAGATGTTAATCATTAGTGTTTGTGGGTCCTTTTTGTCGTTTTGTTTTTTTTTATTGGTCGGTCATAGGGCTTGAACTCCAGGTTGGTCACTGCCCCTGAGCTCTTTTGCTCAAGGCAAGTACTCTACTGCTTTGAGCTGCAACACCACTTCCCATTAGTTATTATTTAATTAGACAAAATTTGTAGGAAAATATGGCCATTGAGAGGAGGGGTGTGTGTGTGTGTGTGTGTGTGTGTGTGTGTGTGTGTGTGTGTGTGTGTGTGTGTGTGTGTGTGTGTGTGTGTGTGTGTGGTTTTTGTGCTACTTGACAGTAAACCTAAGGCCTCATGTATGCTATGTTAAATGATTTGCTGTGGTGCTCTTGTCCTCAGCTTCGGTTTTTATTATTTGAAGAATTCTTGTCTTGAGATACAGAATTGAGAGAAGCTCTTACCAAGAATTAGAGGAGAGAGCGTTGAGAGGGGTGGTTCAAGAGATAAAGCACTTATGTAGAAAGTGCGATACCTTGAGATCAGAATCCTAAAAGAGATTGCAAGGCCTAGCACCTTTATGGTCATTTGAGAGACAAGATATAGCTAGACTCCAAGCTTTATTTCTGCGCAGCTTCTTGCTTAAAGTTCAACATTTCCATGTTTGTGCTGTCACGTTTACAATGTTGGGCACCTTTGTCTGGAAATGTACTTTTCAATGTTCTTAACTCAGGATCATGATACATACAAAGTCTTCCCTAGTAGCAGGTACCCAGAGCCTCAGGAATACATGGGGGAGACAAAGCTGTGCTCAGATGCCTTTCCTGTGGCAATATCTCCCTCTGTTCTCTCACCCACAGGCTGGGGTGCCCCAGGCTCTAGCATGGCTGGTCTGTACAAGGCCCTAGGTTTAATCTCAGCCACTGCTTTTCCCTTAAGCAAAGCATTTCCCAGTCCAGGAAATTCCTGAACCTACAAGGATCTCACAAGGTGATTCCAAAATTATCATTCGTTCACTTGAAGGTGAAAAATATATGCCCCATTAGCAGGACAGGGAAGCGAAGTGAAGTTGGGGACAGCTCCCATAGCCGTCTCTCACAGTCGCTCACCCACTGCCCAGAGCTCACCCACGCTTCTGCTCTATGTATGGGTAGAGGCTACATACATGCCCGACCCTACACACACACCAGGTGAACACCAATTCGGTCTTACTGCACCCAGCAGGAGAATCTGGAGGTCAATGAGCCAGCCCCTCCACCCTTGCAAGGTGGTAAAGGCTACCAGAGCACAACCCTGTGTATTAGTGTGTCTCCACTTAGCACCTGAGTCCCAGCCACTACCCCTGGCCCAAAACAGAAGGCGCTGTATATCCATAGACCATTAGTGATGAGACCTCCCTTAAAGAATTAGATAACTTTAGAAAGAAATTAACCACTGGGTCTTAGAGGAGAATGGCTAGAGATGTGTGCCTTCTTGAACCAAACTCAAAAGCTCCTCAGGAGGCTGAGATCGGAAGGATCACTGTTCAAAGCCAACCCAAGCAGAAAAGTTTGAGAGATCCTGTCTCCAAAAGAGCCAGCCAAAGGCAAGGCTGGAGACATGACTCAAGTAGTAGAGTACTAATCCAGCATGCGTGCACGCGCGCGCACACACACACACACACACACAAAGCTGAGTTAATGTGAGGCTGAGTTCAAACTGTAGTTCTTGGATGGTGGTAGAGGGAGCCTTTGAGACTGGAGTGGTGAAATGTGGGGAAAGCAGAAATCAAGCTAGTAGCTAACAGTTGCCCAATACCCCATGCTTAACATACGACTGGATTCAGAAGCTCAAGACTTTCATAGACATTCCCATTACACAAAAATCT